GGGACCTCATCAACGGTTCATACTCGCCAAGTTCTAAAACTAGTTCTTGTACATATATTGTTGAGGTTAACTCCGGTTAAGGAGTAATCTTAGGTTATAGCTATTTATAGCTAGGTGTGCCCCTGGTTTTGGGTATAAATATACCTCCAAGACTTCTACTTTGAGGGTACTCAGTATTTAGTAAAGCTTCTTGAGCGTTTCAGCCCTGAACGTAGCCCCTGAGGATGAACCACATCGTATGGGTGTGTCGTGTGCTTCTACTTGGCTTGATTAATTCTTTGTTTAAAATATAAGCAAGCTATAGTGTGAAGTTTTATAAATTCTAAACTTTTGTACTAGATCTTTTGAAAAAAGCTATACCTCAAGGAAATAATTTGGAAAACTTTTTTTTTCAGCTTGACGACGAAGTTGAGAGCTTGGTATCAATTGAAAAAATCACAGAATAGAATGGAGATTATGCTCTTAATGACGTCGTGATAATGACATCTCTCAACACAATTGATGGAGCATATACTCTTGATTGTAGACGGTCGTTCCATCCGATTCGCGAGATTTCAGCGCACTGATGAAACTCTTGCGATTATTTTTAGAATGTATTCCGTGGCAACGTCATGTGTTTAGATTCTTCTAAATCTCCTCTCGATAAAATCATGTGAAATCTCCTATTGATTTAGCTTTAATGCAGCAGATCATGTGGATCGTTCAGTTCCATTCAAAATAACCATCCAATACATCTTCTTGCATATTAAGGGTTGATCAATCCGAAGTCTACGCAAACAAACACAATAGCTCAAAAAAATTGCAGACAGATTTCAATGCAACCAGCTGATCAAATTTCAATCATACAAAAACAATGTCGTGCGCTTACTCTAAATCTTACAGTAGCTTTGTGAGTATGGCTTATTTGTATACGGATTAAGAAAGGCACACCATTCGCCTTGGTCTTGCCCCGCTGCATTGAACAAACTTAGTTTCCTCCCATGTCCATGCAATCGTCCATCCCAACCCATGCCCTGACTTTTATGCATAGGCCATGGCTACTAAGTATTCGGAGGGGGACGGATGATTATACTTAGACCTCGTAAAACAGTATGTTCGGAATTCGTGAAGAATGTGACAACATTCGAGTGCAAGTGTGACGCAGTTTATATTTCTTCACGCTTCTAATTTTTAGAACTAGCAATTTTCATAATGTCATGTTTGCTATTTAGACAACCAATTCCTAAAACCAACTAAAGTAGACGACATAAGCATAAAGACGATCTTTTAAAAAGCACGAGATTTGCTATCAACACAAGGTGGCTCAGTCTGTTCGCTAATACTTAGACCTAGTAAAACAGAATGTTTGAGATTCGTGAGGAGTGTGAAAACAGTTGAGTGCAAGTGTACCGCAATTTATAATTTTTTCACGCTTCTTATTTTTAGAACTAGCAATTTTCATAACGCCATGTTTGCTATTTAGTCACCCAATTCCTAAAATCAACTAACATAGACGACATAAGCATAAAGACAATCTTTCAAAAAACATGAGAGCAGCTATCAGTTAGTTCTCACAACAAAGGTGCTCTCGGAATCGTACTTGGAGCTTTCACCTCCATGGGCTCGCATAACGGCTTTGGGTACTATCATAAAGTTTGGGCTCTATTCCATTCGTTTAAACTAGAAAGAATGAAACAATTTAAATTGAAAGCTAAAAGTACACCAAATCCAAATTGAATGCTGAGATGACCAGATCCACAAGTCACATCTTCATCATACCACTAATTTGAAGTTTGCAGTCCAACGTCAAGATGCGCGACTGTGTAAGCATCATTGTTAGTAGAGATTACTTTAGATTGAGTATTGTTAGTAGAAATTACTTTAGATTGAGTAGTGTAGATGTGAGTGAAATATCTACAGTGCCACGTAAGCAATCCGTGTGATAGTTAATGTGTTAGTTGGGAATGACACGTTATCGTTGTGTGTGCTTGTTAGGTAAAGATTGAATGTGCTAGTTAGTGTGGGATCGACATGTCAACAATCTGTGTGCTCATTAGATATATCCGTCATGTCATCAATCCATTAGTAGAGTATTGGATGCTGGGAAAAATATCTTATATTTATGTATGTGTTTGAAGTATCTAAGAGAAAAAGTAGAACCATTCAATGTATCTCATTTTCAGAGTTTATGTTTCATATTTGAGTGAGTTTTTCTTGAAATCCTAATGTTACAAATTGTCACGACAGAACTTCACTAGACAGATGTAGTTTCGTAGGTTGACTTGATTAAATCAAAATTGTTTGCACCGTTGGTAGATACTATAATATGAATAGAATCTCATTGGGTAAAACAAAACTTGATGTTACTAGTAAGCAATTTATGTTACAATGAGATCCCATTGAGTAGTTAGCTTCTATAAATCCATTACAATACGTTCTTCAATTAGTAATAATTTCTCCTGCTTTTTTAAAATTCATTTGAAAATAATCTTAAACTTATATGTGGTAAATTTTATAACAAAACTTTTTAGCAGAATTTTTAAATTTCAAATTGACAAATTTTTTTAAAAATTTAGTATCTGCAATAAAATAAGATGATGAAAAAGTTACCATAGGTTGTAATACATTAGTCATTATTATATTATAATATTTATAATAATAATTTTATGAATTAGAACATTCCTGCAAAGTCATGTGATTTTTTTTAAGATTACAAAATATTTTCGGAGATTTTATTATAGTTTTTTCATTTTTCAAAAAAATTTCATATTTATATTTTATCTACATCCATAGATAACATAATTTAAAAAATAATTATTAAATTAATGTCTTTAGAAATTACAGTAATGATGTTGTAATTTTAAATTTATTATATATATATTAATATTAATTGCAATGACTCAAATGATATTATTGAAGTATAAGCATAATTCACTTATTTAAAGTGAAACTGAATGAACTACAGACATTTTTAATAATCATTTATATACTTATTATGTTGTATTTTGAAAAAGAAGTAGTAAATTTTATACTATCTATACCAAGTTTGAATTGAAAATACTTGGCATAAAATTATATAATGTATGATTATTCATTGATAATAATTATTTTATGTAGTTTTTCAGATTTAAAATTTATCTTGGTCATTATGTACAGTTGAATAATGTTATGTTTACTGAGATACATAAGATTGTGGAAAAATTGGAGTATGGATAATATTATTCAATTGTAGAGAAAATCATAACAATTATTTTTTTTACACAAAAAAAACTTATGTTTCAACAGGAAGTTATATGAACAATACTCATATAAAGTCAAACGTTTGAATATCATTTATAATTAAAAAATGTGCTCCAAATATGAAAGCATGAAAATATTTTTTAATAGATTTTTAATATCTTTGTTTACGAATATAGATTTGGGTTATCTAGTTATGTTATAAAAAATTACGTTATAAAAAAATATATCATAAGTTTATTGTCAAAAATTTGTTACATCCTGAGTTGTCTTGATGTACCATCCAAGTCCCACCTTTTAGATTGATAGTCGAGATTTCCTTATTTTTTAGACTCATAAAAAAATAAAGCTTTAAGACACAGCGCAGCGTAATTTTTGTAAATTTTTTTATGTGGGGTAACTCAACAGAACTTCCTTTCATCCGTTGCAGCACAAGCATTGCATATGAGAAAACCTCTAAATTTTTTGATGAGTCTCAATGTGAAGATCCTCAGTTATGGTTGTCAACAAGCTTGACAATCAAAAGCACTCTCAAAATGATCATAAGATTGTGCAAACATGACACATCCATGCGGCAGTGCACATAATTCTCAAGTGAAACGGGAGAGTACCACTAAGACGAGGGAAGTTCATGAAGATGGTAAGTAACAAATGAAAATTTTTCTCCTCTCAAGATGTAAAGTAACTGTGATAGTCCGTAATTTGGATTAAAGAGCTCTTACATTACTCGCTAGATCATTCTATCTAGTGCTTTTGTTGACAAGGGAGCAGCATTGTTAGTAATTTAAAGTACAGGAGTTAGCAAAAACCAGCTCATCCGCATGCAAGATATCCAACCGAGGGATTTCTTCCATATCTAGGAGACTGTCATGCACAATGAGACAAATGAAATTCATACATTCAATTCAAGTGTTGAGAACCTTCGCCTGATGAATGAACAGTTTTGTAATTACTGTAATATTAGAAAATTGCCGGTTGCAGGGGAAGGGCTACAATAGAGTTTTGAACTGATCCCGACTAAGTTTCGGGAATTATATCTTTGGGTCAAAAAGGCCCCACGGTAATCTAAATTAATGTACCAATGTACGTGATAATTTTCATGCTCATTATTTCCACCAATAGAAAGTACTGTAGGTAGCAGCAGGAAGAGGTAGATATCTGCCCTTCTTGGTCGTGGCTCGTGACAAATCATTAGGTTCCATAGAACAGCTCAAGTTGACTGTAACAAGCGGCGTACTGTGATGTAGAGTGGAAACAGTTCCTAATTTAAGCAGCATTGCCATCACTATTGACTCGGAATCTGAGATGTTACCCTATACGCCCTGCCTCAAAGGGAAGCGTCTCTAACATTTGGAACTCTTTGTCTTAAGCATTTACCATTATTCCTTTAGTAGCGTGGTACTTTGTAGTCCTATAGCTCACCAAAGCAGTAAGATACCCGCCGAGTATCTTACTCGGGACGACTAGTAGCAGAGATTGAATATTGTCCCATCAAAGTCCGCGTGTCTGTCCAGTTGGCTAAAATTTGCCTTATAATACTGCAATTATATCACCATTGTGATGTCCACGAATTCGTGTAATGGTGCAGTGAGATCATAGACTGAAAACTCTCGGAAGCTACTCAACCACGACGTGCCACGTGTTGAAAAGTGAAGTCTTCCTCGCAATGAGAAGTGTAAACTTCGCCGACAGAACTCTTTGTGCTCTCCAGTTTACCGCCAGGAGGTAATTACCGACAACGCAAGAATGTGCATAGCGTTAAGAGAACAATGACTTTTAAAATATAACTCTCCTCACTTGGACGTGGCACCAGTGCGCAGGGCCGAGAGGGCGACGAGAAACAGAGACAGAGTCCAACGAGCGAGCGAGGAATTTTATGATCGCTGTCTGAATCGATGCAGTCTGGTTCGGGCCGAGCAAATACTGACAGGATGCCAGCATTATTAGCTCGCTCTGGCATTTAGAGTAGTGTTTTTGCAGATTTCCACCACCTAATACCAGTGGCTTGTGCACGTTTTGATTTGCGCTCTGGAGGTGTTCTGCACCTGTAACTACCACTGATCCCACGACTGGTGCGTGTTATGGCCCCGAAGGATGGATCTCGATGGCGGAAATTTCGGACCTTGTATTAGTGTCTGTGAAATTCCAGTTTCGAGGTCCGGGTTAGTGTTGCCAGGCACGAAGTGCATACAGCCCTGTTCTTGTGCTGATGCTGGCGGGCGATTTTGATGAGCACGCTAAGGTTTCTGAGCAGGAGAAAGGTGGTGGCGGCCATCAAATCAGGGATCTATCGGCCGGAATAATGCTCCGTGTGTGTGTATTCTCAGCGGTAATGCTGTCGCAGATCGCAGCATGTGCTTCTTGCTGCTCTGAAGGTAATTGCTCGTGAATGACGATCGACATTCTCAAGTATGACAGAGTAGGATAACACAGTGGAGTTCTTTATGTTTTTGAGTTAGCTCCCCGAATCTGTATCGCCATCCACTTTCCGGATCTATCGTTGATGAGTTCCGATCAGAGTCCAGTGTGACCGCTGCATCAAAAGTGGAGCATATGATATCAAATCTTCACACGTTCAGAAACCTAGAATCCGTTCCGTCGAGGATGGCAGCATGCGCTGAAGGAGTAAAATGCTGTAATCCTCTTTCAGCCACGAAGCAACGAACGACGAAGTTCAATCTGCCGTTCTGAACTTTGGCCTCCGCAGCAACCGAATCGAACAAGGAAACCTCAGAAGAAGCGTGAAAAGTGAAGGAAGAATGATGGGCGAGAATGTGTGGAAGAGCGTGCTCGAATTGAAAGCGTTTGCACGCAATTGGTCCACTCCGAACTGACTGACCCGTTTTGCAGACTAGCAGAAGTTGCTGTGAGTGGGAGCCTGCAGAGAAGGAAGCATCTGCGGAGAAGGAAGCATCGGCGGCAGTATGGGAGGGTCGCTGAAAGTTACCTCCATTTGGCGGAATCGACCGGTCGACCGAGCGACCCTGTATAATCTGGTCATCGCCTCTCTTGCGTTGTCGATGATTGTTGTCTGTGGAATCTATCTGTTCATACCTCCGCCACTGGAGTCCGGCAGCGAAACCATCATGCCTTTAAGGCTCGGACGAGAACTCGGGGAGCGAGAAGGAGGTCGGAAATTGGGTCGATTTGGTACGATGATGGTAGAAATGGTCGCACAGGACCTTCCTTTCACAATATTTGTCCCAACGGAAGCAGCTGCGGAAAGGTTGGCGCGATCGTGCACAAGAAATGTGGACTACGCGCTGAATGAAAATGTTAAAAAGGGTGGTTCTGCGGCGAATACGACGAGGACATCTGCCGACCGAGAAGCCTCCATATCCAGATGTCTGACCGCAGTCGTATCTCGCATCATGAGCTTCAGTACCGTCCCCAAGCAGCTCAAGTCCTCTGCGGTGCCCGAAGGACGAGAAACAGAACTTGAAAGCCTTTCCGGCTACAAGCTATATCTGGCCCGCGATTCTCGCAGAGGGCTCGTGGTGAACAACCTTACATTCGTGGCTGCAGATATCGGCCAAGGCCTTCTGGTGATTCATCTCATCGACGGAGTTCTCATGGACTCCATGTTCGAACAGTCGGTCGAAATCGAAGATGAGTGACTGATAGCATAAAGTGAGTGACACATAAATAAATCCAACAGCGATGCGATCCATGAACTCTTGCCCTAAAGTTTATTCCCCACGTCCTCGATCAGAGCCGGCCGAGGGCATGGAAATGGATTGCGATAATCTCCTGTGTCTGCTCTGTCAGACACAGATCAGCCAGGATTATCGAGTGGAGAAAGGGTAAAGAATCAAGAGTGGGTCCCTTCATCTCTGCTACTCGCTTCTGCCAGGAGCTTTCTGAAAAGCGGTCATGAAACAGGCAGAAAGTAATATCTTGCGGGAGTTCATCTACATTGTACGCTCGAAGGCTCCGTTCGGAATCAAGGAGGGGATCCTAAATCACCAACGAACATGCATGCACAGAGCTTTGTGGTCCACCTTTGCGACGTTGACAACTCAAACCTGATGCTCTGGTCTGTGCCCCGAGGCTGAGTTGGAGCTTTTCAATCCAGGGGAGTTTCAATCCAGGGAAGCGAGCTGACGAGCACACCGTGATTCTTCGATGAAAAGATCTGGCCCTTGCGCGCAAGTGCTGAGTATCTGTCGTCTTCTTCTCTCCGTCAAAATCAGTGTGGAAGAAGCCAATCTGCAGCGACTTGAACCATGTCCTTCGCGGTTCTCTGAGGACTAGAGTTCTACCGTAGTGCATCGTTCTATGTCTAGCTTTCACAAGAAGATTTGGATTTTGGTGGAGAAGTATGTTGGCTGCTAAATCGATGCCGCTTTGGAGAAAATCCCAACTTCCACCTTCTACACGGCAACATATTTGTAGAGTAGGGCTCCGGAACTTCCACCTTACACGATGCTGCTAAGATTTTACAGTCCAGTGCCAGAGAAAGTCCGGGCTCAATTTGCAGCTTCTGAACTCTTGATACGAAAGATGCATTTGCAATTTTTGACGATCGTGTCTTTCTGATAGCCGGCTTTGCTCTTTCACTGTTGATACCCGGGAGGGCAACTGCTGGTTTCACTGGAAGCTCTCAGATTGATACTGCGTGATTCCAGTCTGCCTCCTGTCTGTCAGCGTTCCTCCGGTGAATTTTCAGCAAAGGCTGCTTCTGACAAGAGAGGCCTATAGCTGAAGATAGGATAATCATATTTTCACGATGATTCTCTAATAAAAGGCAGGGTCGCGATTTGCAAGTTGATGACTTTGTTCCCCTAATCGGTCCAAACTTGAATTGGACTCGTTGCATCACCTTTTCGGTTGAGACTGGAGAGATGGCACAAAAACGAAAGCTTGAGTTTACGGACGCCACAGGAAGACATTACGTGGAATGCTTCTACATGCGCCAAAGCAGATCATTATGACAGACAACTGTGCCTCTAACACAAGAACTTCGGTGGCATTGTTTTACAATGGGAACACCATGAAAAGTAATGATAATGATACATTAAAAAGCTCAAGGCCCAGATTCACAGGCATCGAACATACCCGATGTAAAAAACTTCCACTTATTCATGTAAATTCAAACACTAATTTCCAAGCTAGTTTTAGGTTATGGAAGATAACCTACATCTACCCCTATGGGATAATGTGCAATTTGTGGGCTATAATAAAACCTGAGAAATCACTCACCGTTGATGATCAACAGTTTATTAGTCCATTCAACATGTATAGCTGCACAGAGTATCATATTCATCTATCTCAATGTATGAGACTAGTTTACCTTGAGCATAAACACATCTTATGAACACTTTAGCACCTGAACACTGCTGGAGTTGACGTGTAAAGAATTTGAGTTCTGCAATAGAATGCTACATAGTGAACGTACGTACTCTTTCTTTCTCTCTACATCGGTTGATCCAATTTGTAGTATAGACTCATAGCGTATATTGTGAAACCGGAGAAGAACAGAGATACTCAATTTCGTAAATCTAGCGTTGTGGCGGATCAAAAGATACGTCCGAACGCATTACAACCAATGAATACTCCAGGCTTCATGTACCAGTTCTATACACAAATTAATTATATTCGAAGCAAATCATGTCAAAGGAACTTAACTTCTTTATCTGTACTTGACTTTCTTTCCCTCACCTTGGACTTAACAAGCAATTGTATATTGGCATATAATTATGCGAATAAATATCGGGTAAGCTCAGCTTATCATACTTCAGCGCAAAAGTTTAAGTATAGAACGGAAAGTTGTACGTGTCCGGGTAGAATTTGTGTCTTGAAGGTGCTCGCAAGGAATGATAGGAATCAAATCATATTTCCTCTCCAAACTGAATGGGCTCGAACATGCGCCATTCCACTCGATGAGGAGCTTTGGGCTGCACAGGATGGCAGACGGCGCGTCTCATCGCAGCCATGATGACTGGATCGCCAGTCTGGTACCGTCGAGTACTTCCTATGGCCGTTGGATACGAACTGTTGATACCCACACCCGGTACTCTGTTTGTATGAACTACACATCTCTTCAGTTACTCATTGACATTCAACTGCTCATGAGGATTTGAAGTTTGATCTCGGGAGTTTGATGAACTGGTGTAGATAAGGACGATGTTTTTCTATGAACATCCTATCCAGACCATCTAATTTTGATTATTTAACTTTAACAACCTCTTATTAAGGTTTTTTGCAACCTAAAATAATTTCTTCTTATAGAAACACTTACCGGATGACATTAAGCATTACCATAAGATAATACTATAGAGAAATCTGAGTCCATAGTTGAAGTGAAATTTAAACAAGAGGATATTGAGTGCGAATGCCAGATTTAAAATTGAATGAGATATTTGTATTGCAAAGAAGAAATTTTATGATGTCATCACATACATTATCAAGAATAACCTAAACATTCCCAGTGAGATTGCTCTACAACAAGCGCTTAGCATGACGGTCTAAATGGAAGAATTTCTATTTCATTGAAATGTAGTGAAATGAAATTTCAAAATTCTTGCTTTAATGATGAAGACGAGGAGTACAATTTGAAGATATGGAATCACTACGCTCGAACTCATTGGCCAAGAACAACTACATAGGATTGTTTGAAGCTAGCAAACCCCAAAGAACCGATTTTAGTGTTAATTGGTCAGGGATTAAAAAAAAAAAAAGTATGTCAGGAAAACTCTACAAGAAAAAAATGTGACTAACCTACTCTCAATAATGATCAAGAGAATGACTTCTTTCTGCAAACAAGTTGATTGTTATAGTGCATGCTTTCTAGACATGGGAATTTCTTTTAGGAACAAATTTAATAGGTTGTGTGGGTACTAATGTGGTAGTACACACAGTAAGTCACTGTCCAATACAACTTGAATTGAGGCCAATCTCAATATCTAGTCCCCTCTTTCCAAAACTAATTGAGCTATGGATTGAGAATATTAAAAATATCTTGGAATCTTTACATGTACAATATTGTAAGTGGTGGTTTACAAAGCTAGGAAATAGATTTGTGTAAGTATCAACTCAGGTCTGAACTAAACTCATGTATCTAAACCCCAGTTAAGATTAAAGGCTTTCTTAGATTTTGTTGTTCAATATAAAGGAGAGATGTTGAAATCCTCTAACACTTTTAGTTTTATATTCACGAATGCTTTTTGGTTACATGGACATAGCCCGGCAATGACGAACCACGTATTGTTTTATCGGCGTGGTTTGTGTCTTAACGTGTGTTTGTGATGTTTCTCTATTCATGGAATTCTAATAAAAAAATCTAAACAATTTCTACGTTTCATTCAAGTTATAAAACTGGGAAATCAAGTGAAGATAGAAAAATTATAGGATTGGGCAAATTGTGGATGAGTTTGAAGAAGACCTAGCAACGATAACTATCTACTAAATGATAATTCTTTAGTTTGGATATGATAAGTTTCAACTTTCAGAGGTGCAGCATCCAAAGCAATCCTTCCGTTTCTTGGTCTCTGAAGCAGCATTCTTTTAGTATATCAACAACTTTATTCTAAATTATTCACAAAAAAAGAAATTCATGAAACAAATCATGAAATGCAAAGAATTATATCATACTCTCATTAAAATTAAAATAATTTTAAATTTATGCAATCACAAAGATGATATCATGATTTTTTCAGCTACTGTAAATTGCTAGAAGGTTCGTACCAGCTGCATAAATTTCCAATTACAGGCCTTGGTGTTTTCAATAGCACGAACAGGCTCCCACAGTGTCAACTGATTAACGTTGTGGGATAACTTTCAGTGTCAATGAGAGCACTGAACCATCAAACATGAAGGGAGAATTTTCCTTTACGTTTTGCATCCCGCCACCTGAACATGTTTTGACCATTTCAGCAGTAACTTTGGTCACTCCTTTCGGTTTTGGTTTTGCATCCCGCCACCTGAACATGTTTTTGACCATTTCAGCAGTATCTTTGGTCACTCCTTTCGGTTTTGGTCTTCGTTCGATATTCAAAATGCTTCAAAAGCTAGTCTCTCTCCTTTGCACATGTCAAGACAAGAAATCTGCAGCTGAGAAGTCTGAGTCTCTGAGCTTCCCGCTAAGAGAAGATAAGACAACAACGGAGCCCACGTTGGATTCCAAAAAGGATGGGAAGAGCCGATCAAATACAGGGGATCAGATGAAAGGTATAGGATATTGGCTAGAAGAAATAACATCAAAAATGACAAAATTGTATTAATGCATGTAAATATCTCAACCATGGAGGTACATCGCTTACATATCCTAATCAGCATCACGTAAAGTGATTGGTCTTTAATGATTTTCTGTATGTACAGCAGGCAAGATGAACTCCCTGCTTAATCATTTGGGTCAATACTTAGCATCAGAATGACTGTAATCATCGACTGGAATAAGATACATCCCATGCTGTTCCTACGTCAAGGGCTGATCCCCCCGTTTGATTCTACTCAGAGTCCCGTCATAATGTTCGATCAATCAGAAGTTAACGGCACCTTCGGAAAGTGCCTCCACAAATTATGAAAGGTACTGTCGATGGAGCCAGACAAAATCATGTGCAATTCCGAGAAAAAGATCCGTCAAGCATAGCACACATGTGCGGAGGATGTGCTCTCGATAAAACATCTGACCACTTTCACGCCATTATATCTCTTGTTTAATTACATGTCGTCAAGTCATGCTTGGGACTGACTTTGCGGTTCGTTGCTTGACATGCTCATTAAATATATGCCACAATAAGTCGATATCCATACTACATGTACTATCTTCAAATTGCCTATTTATAATTATGAAAAAATTAATATCTAAATATTTAAAATTATTTTAATTGTAATTTTTTATAAATTTTTTTTATCTAATGTATTCTAAAATATTTTTTTCTAAATTAATATCTATATAATTTTGAGTAAAAAAGTTAATCAAATTATCATTATATTTTTATAAACTAATGATATCACGTGCTCGTAATATAATATCATAAGCATAAAAAAATCTTTGAAATTAAAATTTCCAAATACTACAATTTTACTTTCATAATATTCTAACCACCTTTCTTGACACTTTGTGACCCCGTTTGATCTACTACCATAGAATGTGAGGTATACATAAACTATATTTTGATCGAGCTGGGTAAACAAATGAAAAGAATATCTATGATACTCATTTGATCCATTTCAATGAACAATATATTTCATAAACTAAACGTGAAAAATCATTACAATCAATTTTAATTACAAATGAAAATATTCACAACTATTCAGTGATTAACGATCAATCCAACAGTCGGACTCTGTCTCATTAGATAGTTGCAAACAGCATTCGTCGTAGTTTCCTCCGTATACGTGCAGTTGTTCAAACCGGGCCTGCATGGTTGAAGTGGAAAGTGTAAGAACTCAACACATTATGTGAAATGGACCATATGTCTTCGATCGTATGAACTAGGAAATATAATGCTTAGAAGCTTACTCTCCTAACAGGTTATGAATAAGAACAAAGATGAAATCTACGTAAACCAAAGAAATTACAAACTATCCCTTCTCGTCCAGAAAAGACTAAATGTGAAAAGTCAAGACTCTTACAGCCATGTCATCGATTGACATTGCCAATGAGGTGGCAAAACATCGAGATTGACTCGGGGTAAAGCGAGACGCCACTGGTTACGTTTCGTGCACTCCACCCAGTTATCCAGAACAATACTAGGTTGTGCTGCCACTTCGAGACTGGAACTTCCCTCTGGTGGAGGATGCTGAGCGTCTAGAGCAGTAAGTAGGAGTCCATTGGCGTCTCCTTGTACGGGCAAGGCATACTTGTGCACTGCCTTATCCCTCTCAATATGATTCTTGCTGCTTTCTTTGCCCTTCTTCGGCTCTACAGAGGGCCTACTGTGAAGGCCGAGGGTGAAGTCCTCTCCCACAACGTGACAGTCAGTCATATTCCAATCCTAAAATTCCCTCGGCCTTGCCCGCAGTACAACGACCCTTTACGTTGCCTCCGCGGAATCTTTGTGCCCTACGCGTAACAAAACCTTTCACGGAACAAATTCCCAGATCTCCACGCTCAAACTCACGATCTCCCGCCGGCCACGAACACAAGTACTCGAATTTTCTCTCTCCAAAAACTCAGTAATTATACAGATTTCGTTACCTAGTCGAGATTCACTGCCGATCATCAACTTCTGCTACTGCTTGCTCAAACTCCAAATCCCCCCCGTTCTGCAACACCTAAAACTCGTCTCTCGGCCGAAGACACATTCACTCGTGAGCATCGAACCCCGAAATTCTGATTTCTCGATCAGAAGAGGCCCAGAGCTTGCCTTCGTGCTCAAAATGTTCGTCCACTTCAAAGCTTCTGTCTTTCCCGCATCGTCTCATCCCTCGAGGGAAGTCTCCTCTTGTCCAGCAGATGAAGGAATCTAGAGATTTATGCCGCTACAAAACGCCATCATCACGTCCGTCGGTTAAAACTACGTTCGACCGCAACGTCTATTGTGGTCCGACGCTTTTGTCTTCTTCACAAGCGGTTTTTGAACAAGAACCTTCACAGCCGGATGAACCGAACATAATCCATACATCAATCAATCAATTCCTCACAGATTGTTTTGTTTTTACGTTACTGTGGAAATCAATAGCTGATTTAAGTCAATGCAAGTCAGATTAAAGGTTCCTTGCAGTGTCATAGCGATTTTTCACTTTGATCTTCATTGTGGATAATGCTAAAGCGGACTCCTCGTTTAACACAAGCCAAATTGTACAGTTCGTAGCTGTCACAAGAGAAAGTCACCGGGAACACAAGACGAAGCGGCAAGGACAGAATAAAGTTGTGAGAAGTGCATGGCGGTGGAACTGACTGGAAACGTGCTGCATGTTTCTGCGAGTAGACCTGTCGAAGGAGACTGAAGAAAAAACCTTCGCTATGAGAAGGACAAGAGAATCACCGAATATTTGCCAGTATCGGTCCAGATTGTAGGAACTCCAAGCATAGAGTATCAAGAGGGGACTAGTTTATCAATTAGCAAAGATACTTCTGAGAGATGTCGACACACTCAGCGATGTTGAAGAACGGAGTCCTGTACATTGTTGGAGGTTTGGTGTAGCAGGAACAGTTGTTACATTCCCCTTACAACACGCAGGAATTACTAGAACTGAGATATGAGTCTAGATCAATCAGTCCAAATGCCTCGTCTGTCCATCAACAGATCTTTATATCCGTATACTTCAGAACAATATGGATTGTTGCAATAACAGAGAATGTATATCGACCAAAATCAATGAAGCTCTGCAGATTTTCCTCTGAGTAATGCCATTGTAAGCTGAGCTCCAGAAGAACATCGTCAACCTTATAATATGAACTCCACTTGAAATACCAGAGTAGCGCGAGTGCTATTGACTCGACATAGGTGAAGAAAATGTCTGTGAATTCCATATTGAAGTTTAAACATCTCGTGTGAGACTTGCTCACAACTGAAAAATGATCCCTTTAACATTAAACTCGGAATTGGATGGAGGACAACAGACCCATTGAATAGTCCAACCAAACTGTTGGCCTTTCGTGGGAGTAGTCAGCTGATTGATTATTCTGCTGTAGTTGATAGCAAGTTAAGCGCGACTGAACGACCTCTCCTGACTGCTTGGCTATGAACTGGACTAGCAGTAGGCCGCAAAATTTGCCACCAAAATTGTTGAAGCTAATGTCAGCACATCGGATTGGAAAATTTCATCTTCAAAATCCACGGCAGGCCAAGAAGTAAAAATTATCGGCTAACCTTGTACTTGGCATCGGCGGCTAAAGAGTTACAATACAGTTCATCTATCGTCGGGGGAGAAACAATTATCTAAATGGTAGTCGGTTAAGTGCCTAAGTTCACTCCCGGTAGCCTAGAGCTTCATGACTCTAAGTTAATTCAACCTTACCTCCACGTTGATTTTACCAGCAACAATAGGTTCAGACTCGCTGTACTTGGTAAAGGGAAAGACATGGCATATTTACACGAGAGAAGAAGTGGGATCGCATTTGAGACTCATCTCTCCCTCTCTCTACGTCGCCTTTCTCTCACTGACAAGGTAATCTGATTTAACAGCGTTTGGAGTTACAGAGTCTGGAACCTTCTTGGTTCCAATGGCCTCATTCGAGCTGTACACAGTTGTGATATGTCGGTCTGCTGTACATGTCGCATGATCGATGACGTTGCGAAGGATTTCACAAGCCCTCGTCGGCATCGCGGTGCATGTCATCCAGAGCCACGTACAGAGCCGTGACCAGCTCCACGTTGCTCAAGCCCAACGGCCCACCCTGGACAATAAGGCCGAAGATAAGATTCTCGCGGAAGGTACAGGAATTGAGCAGCGATCCCATTAGCGTGCACCTCAATTGTGGAAGGTATACCAGCGCAATTGACAAAATTGCGCTGGTATACCTTCCACAGTTGTCACGGTCCCCAAGCCTTGTCCTACGGAATATGAGGCACGGATAGGACACCATCACTCGCCAAAAACCGCTGCGCCTGTTTTGCAGTTGCGCAAAGCGTGGGAGAAGAACACTGACCGAGGTTTTCAGTTGTTTGGCGCAGAGTTTCGCGGTGAAGTCATCTGACAGCTCCATTCTCTTGTAGAAGATCTGCCATCTCTCAATCAGAGTCTACATCACAAATCGATCAACATGCTGAGAGTCGAGAGCGACCAATCTTCAGAGTCCATAATCCTTTCATCGGTTTTCCACGACAATTTCATCACTTATTGGTTCTACAAATAAATGATGAAAGTCGAAGAGAGAGAGTCGAAGGGATTTCTCGAAAAGCGGTAAAATTCATGAACAAAAAGAAGAAGAAGAATAATTCAAGGAACCGGACAGTATGAATCACGACGGCACTCATGGATAACACATTTCAACATGATCAGAAATCCCACCCTCATTTCTTCGATGTAATATTTCTTTCCTTCTCTGTCGAACTGCCCATACTTCCTTCCCTGCATGCACGAGAAACAGAGTCTCGGTCACCGTCGCTTGACAATATGCCTCAAGTGCAACTGCGACGAAAGTCTACACACATGAAAATGTATCACCAAACAAGCAGTACGTGAACTTCTTTATCTGCGCACGTACGATTTGAAGGAGATTTTTGTAATCGGCCTGGAGACGTCCAATCTCATTTTGCACCACGCTGGACTTGAAGAAAGAATCGTCTCCGGACATTCCCACGCACATACTCACAACTGCTCGGTTTCGCCTGATTCCTCCTTGAATTTGTAGAGCAGAAAATCCTGCAGATATTCATCACAACGCCCACGCCAAATCAAGTCAGATATGCTTGTAACCAACAATTGAGTGGAAGACAGCAATTGTTTTAGCGAATAAGAGTGTACAGCGATCGGAAGAACTGAAGGGTCTGGATCAGATTGGTTCCTGAGACGCAGCAGTAAAATTTCATCGTGTGGGAGGAGGCCACGGAGTGCGGCCGAAAGGCATAAGCAAAACGGAACAAGGCTTCGCGTCGTTCATGGAAATCCAGCGAGCCTCTACCTCTTAAACGACAGTCATTCGAGACATTGGCGTTGCTGCCCCTGCTCCTGCTCCTGCTCATCGACAGGCTGCTCGAACTTGTATTCCCCCTTCCTGTGAGATCGCGGAGGTACGCCGTGGCAAACTCTCTTGTAAAGGAAACGACTCGCGGGAGTGCTGCAGATGCCATTCCTAGCGCACGATTACAATCTCAACCGTATGAACTGAGGGCCACTTCGATTTCGCGCTTTCCCCTGGTCCACTCAACGACGGGCACACCTGCTCATGAGTCGAGCGACTGCAGACCCCAATTTGCAGCAGTGAGTAACCCAATTCTAAGTGTCAAACTTTCTCCTTTGCTGCTGCTCATCTACCCCGAATCCCAGAGTTCTGGTCAGAGCTTTTCGTGACAGTGTGGGGGAATTCCTGCTCTCTTTCTGGCTGATTGATTTTCTGGTTCTAACACGAACGCAGAGCTTTGTGAGAACATTCCTACGATTCCGCCAAGAGGTCCGCGATCAGGCCACACACGCTGCTTGATTGGTTCCTCGCCAGATGAACTACAGGTCTGTTCCTGTAAGCTAGACCTCGAACCAGAAGAACAAGGATTCCGACGCAACAATGCGCATCAATTGCTCGGAGCTCAACTGCAGCTGCGGTTTTGTCAGAGGTCTTCTTCGCACGACGGCCTTGATGCTCGCAACCCACGCTCCAGAACAATCTTGACGAATTGTACGATCCAGAACCTCAACGAAGAAGAGAAGAGAAGGGAAGAGAAGAGAGAACGACTCAGATGCTGAAGCAAGCACAGAAGTGACTTTCTGCGAGTCTTTTCTGGACAGCAAAAATTCAAATGACGAGACGACAACGAGCTCTGGACGACAAACCGTTACCAGGATCGGAGCAAACTTATAGTCGCCCTCGGCAAGAGCGTACAAAGCCCCGGCCTCGGGCAGGTAGCAAGGAAGCACGTGCACGTGCAGAGAAGGAGAGGACAGCCCCGAGGTCGGCACGGCACGGGAGATTTGGTTGGCATGGCATGATTCCGAATCTTCAGCAGTTTGAGCCTCGTGTCTGTCGGGTTTTCTTTTCTTATCATTTCTATTTGTATTACGTAGCGCGGCTCTGAGCCACCAGTTGCCTGGCTTACTAAATCAATAGTCTGTTCGACTTGCGAAGAAAGGAGCACTTCAGGCAACACGCTCCTTCACCGCCACCATCAAATCGGCTCGACTGGTGCTCCGTTCCTATTTAGCAGTCAAGATTCGGCAGGTGTGCACATTGAAACAATCCAGTTCAGGCTTTCCCGGTGACTACGGCACCTCTTCCGTGGTACTACAGGGGATCTCCACTCCACTACACTACACTGTTTTCATTCTTTGAAGAGCTCGGAGACGATGCATTCTGAGGGATGGTTATTAATGCAGAGATTTGTGTGACACGAGTATTCAGATAGCTCTCACAAACGGGTCTGCTACACAATCTGCGATTGATTAGCGATCCGGACTGGGGCCATGTTGGGATGGTCTTGCGAAGCAAGAATCAAGACAACTCCCTTGTCTGTATTGGATCGGTGTGTTACTATACATGCTCTAGTTCAGGGAGCAAACGGACGCACAAGTGTCATAGGTACACTTGCATTTTGTCAGTAAACGTTTCATCAAATGAGAAACAACAGTTTCGAAATGGATTATGTCATCAAGAACATTCTCTTGTGCCTCCACCATGAGCAATTTGTTTTTACTAACTTCAAAAAGACTTGTACATATGAAAATCCATCTGGGGCATATGTTATAGAAGTTTCTTACCGAAAATCCAAACAGATGGATTAAAATCGTTATTTGTTAGGATGATAAATAGACGAATTATCGAAGAAACTAAAAGAGTTCTGAACAAGTGACATATATCAGATCTCTTGATGTCTTCTCACAATTCAAAATTTATTTCATCAATCTACATTAGAATTTGATACGGATGAAAATTTCGGATTCCAATATGAAGTGCACCGAAAAGTCACCTATTGCTTAATCAAAATGAGATGTAGGCCGTAGTTCAGTTTACTGTAGTGTGCATTTCAATTTTATTAAATAAAATTCTACTATAATCTACTAACCACACGGTGTGATGCACGTTTGCAGTTGTCGATGGTTATGTGTAAGTTGACTAAATTAATATTGAATTAAGTGGTCTCAACATACATGTTGTCAAATGTTTCATTATCATGAGTGAGATTGCATTCAAAATTTAGACATGTTTCTGAAAATAAAATGACCAATCTACAACAACATTTGACCAAGCTAAGTAAAATTCAAGGTACATTTATGGTGTAAAACCTCGAACTCTTTTCTTCACACACTCTTGCCAAATGTAATGAGGAGGGGTGAACAAGATGCTCACTTCATAACCTACTTAGATTCCAATAATCTTCTCTCTCCAAAGAAGTACTATATGTTTACTTTGTGTTGAATGTTTGCAAATTCTGGATTAGTACACACGGAGTACTAAGTCGAAACTAAATTATTGAAATTTGTTTTCATGTTTTACTCGGACACCAAGTTTGTACATGTAATGACATGGAATCGATGAAATCGACGTAAGACTGGAGAATGAAGATTTTTCTGAGATATTTGTAAGCTCACGTGACATACGGCTGCGCATATTGCTGTCGTTGGAGGGAAAGGCATGGCGCGGATCAGATGGGATCCTGGAATAAGCATGGACCAAGTAATTGCATTTACTCTACCATCAATATACCCACGTTCCAGGCGCCCCTCAATCCTTCCCGCAGTCTCCAAAGTAATGTTCCCCCTTATCTCCTGATTCATCTTTGGTTCAACATGACGATGCTTTCTTCATGTTGGTGAACAGTCATGACGACACTTTTGAGAAATTGTACAATTGTCGGGCGAACGGTGCCTAGCAATGTATCTTCTGCAGGAAGGCCTTGTTAGTTTCACGCAACTTGCACTCTTCTTTCACCCAAAGTTTCAGTCAAGCTTCTCTTCTGACTTCTTTATCTCGCTGTTGCATGGCGACTTAAATCCTTGGTGACGCCGTTTCGAGATTTACTTTCGATATATTCCATCTATTAAGGAATGATCGGCTGTGGTGTTCGGAATACATTATACATCAAGGAATTATGGGCTTTTATGTTTTTTTCGGTCATGATATACGTAAAACATTCAAAATCCTTTGCAAATGGAGCAATTACGACAGTTGGCTTCAAGTAGGATTCCCTCGAGCCACATGTCTATGGTCTTCTAGGTTCGTATATAAACATTGTGTGTTGGCTACTTCGAACATACATGGTACATGTGACAAGAATACTTCACATACTTGTTTCTGTTTAGGGCGGCTTACACCTTTGGTAACGCGGCCCTTGCAACATCCACCTTCCTGAGATAATGGTCGCCTTTAATGTTCTCTGGGCTTTTTTTACTTAAAGCATCAATGTGAATCTCACCAAGTTAGAAGCTTATGAAAGAAAAGGTGGTCGTAAAATCAACATGCGAGTTATATTAAAGAATTTCCCCTCAATTTCACAAGATTCTTTCTTGAACCACATTAGAAAGCAAAGGTAAAATTTCCCCGTCGCTCGATCCGCATGAAATTCTTCTTCGAGATATTTTTGTTCTTATAGATTGATAAATCTATTTTTATAAGAGAAGCAAGTTCAATATAACTTGGAGAGCAGCAAGATAAAAGTTATTTCAGAATGTTAGGAAATTTTTACAAAGCAGCATTTGACATCATGACCTCTCATGGATTGAACCACTCCATGAGAGGTCTGGCAAGAAGGTTTCAAATAATATTTGAATTTACACCTTCTCAAGCCGAGCCGTATTAAAATGCAAGGGCTTGCTTATAGCTAAGTTGCAGTTGGTAGATATCTCCCCGTGCATATTAGTTAATTCTTAATTGACTTGTGCTACTAGGATCTACAGGCATCTCTAAATACGACAAATATGGAATTTGAGAGTCGGATTGCCGTATTTCGATTTTAGAAAGTTACGTATTTAAAAAAATGTCTTTGTTATCTAAGTTATCTAGACGCAGCACTTCTTGGCCTTGGTCTCGGTCTTGTTGCACACCACCTGCCAGCTCTTGACGGCCGACTGCGAGTGGATGTTGTCGGGCGAGAACTCCGACGGCGACACTGCGCGCGGTTGACTGCACTGGTAGCCCTCGCCGATGTTCCAGTTCACCGGCGGCTGGATCTCGTCGCGGTACAGGTTCGGCGGCAGGTTGTACACTTGCACCTGAACTCCGACTTGGTCTGCGATGCGTCCACCAGCTCCGGTAGCAACGTCTTCACTAGATAGACTAAAATTTCAACTGAACTAAAATTTTGGGGTGACCGTTTGTGAACATATCTTTGTTGATCTAGGTGGTTTTATTAAACTAACGAAAATACTCAGCTACAACTTGGCCGTGACAGTTTGCGACAATTTCTTTGTTCATCTCGATGACTTTACTAGAGAAACTAAAGGAGTTATTAGACTAAAACTTTGCGGCAACACCTGATGAATTCAGCGAGGCAAGTTCTAGTATTTTGTCTCTTCTTTAACTCAGTAACTTTTAACTTTTAAAACACCACAAGTTATTCAACTAGTTCTAAAATATCAAGATTGTTTCAAAATTTCGAAGGAACAAAAGTACATGGATAAAATAATGAAAGAATACAAACAACTTTTGCTTTCTGTGAACCCAGAACATTACGAAGATGTTTTTTTTCAAAAAAATTAAGATATTAAAAATAGATTTCTTCAACTCATGTAATTTTTGGAAGATTAGTTTGACAATTTTCGAACACTTCAACGGTGTGGAGAGTGATTCCTCGGTGCTGAAATCGTGAAAGGATATTCAGAGATAAAAATAACACCCATCTATTACATTGCCGTCAAATTAGGCCGAAAACATGAGAGATATATGTCAAATTCCATATTTTTAGTATTTTGATTTGAGAATTATCCTTATTTTGTTGAGATACGTAACCTACAGAATCCGCCCTATACAGAGAGGCATGAGTATCTAGGTTGTTACTACTTACCATACTGAAATACATTCAAGACAATAAAGTCGGTATCAATTTCCCTGAAAAGTAAAAGCATCACTTTGCATTCAGTCTAGATACGCTCCTCTTATCAAGGAATTTACGCGGATCATACGTATATCTCACTCCTCGGTCTACAATCTTCCCGAACATAACAAGATTCTGACAACAGAAACTACTTGTTTATTGTATTCATGGGCCCATGAATAACCACACCTTGAACCTACATTCCCTCTCGGATTCCCACGTGACAGTTCTGGGCGACGTGTTTATTTTTTAAAACTTTGTCAGGGATTTGCAAATAAGGAAGACTACCAACTGAATCTCCTCTAAACAATAGAATACTGTAACCAGTGTAAAAATACTTACGCACGGTCGACTTTCAGGGAATGTCGACTCCACTCTTCCCGAGTACCTCCAAGTGTCACACTCTGTCGGTTGTAATTTCCTGAAAGCCAGTTACGCCAGAGCATTTGTTGTGGGGTAGCGATCGGTGATATCAACATGAGGTATCTATTTGATGAGATCCCATATGAACCTCAAATGCTTACAAGTACCGATGGACATTCAGAAGGTACAAGTCACACATGTTCATATTAGAACATGTGTGACATTTCTTAGTCTGAGATTTTCACATTGGATCAAAGTTTATAAAATTATCTGACGTTTGAATTTTCAAGTACTCGGTTTCCTTCCTTGTGAATTTACTTTAAATATTTCACACGTCACTTGTTTAATTTCCGACTGTTCAAAACCCACGCGTGACAATGTATGTCACAATTCATCGTTTTGAGATTTGTGAACTGAAGCTCGTATCATATACGAACTTTAGTGTATATGAATATCTTTCAGAAGTTGGTGACGGTGTGCCATCCGTGGAATCCCATCAAGCAGATAGTTTCAATTTAGTTTCCGATGACCCATCAAGTAAATACCTCTCGTGGTATGCGAGATATCAACGTGTTCGAATGTGGCGCTCTCAAACAGAAATAAGTGCATCCAAGTTTGCTGGCCAAAAGTCCTCTTCAAGATGCGTAATGTTATGAAGCCACTATCTTGTGAGAACTGTCGGGATCTTTGCATCAAAGTCAAATACAGCTCGGTTACGAGTTGTCTCAGAAGTGGAATACCTGAATTCATCCAATGCGTTTGCTTCCGTTAGTATCATTATCATTACTACAACTTTCCA